TCGAACCGCGAGCCAAATTTTTATATAAGACGAAAGACTTCTTCGAAAGTCTAAAATATTACTTGAGAATATAAACAACAAATCTCTGGCGGCGGTGCGGTCCGGAAGGAAATCTTGTCGATTCAATTTGACAGTTCTATTGTCTTTAAAAGAAAAAACAGATGACGCTCGCGCGTGCGCATAACCGGGACACTGTCCCTTTAAGAAGCTCTCACTGACCAGCAGGCCCTTTGCTTTATTGTCACGTGATTCAAAACTTTTGTAACAACATGACCTTAGGTGCACTAAAGTTTAAGAAAAGGACGCAAGAGACTTATATGAGGTTATCTCTTTATGTTCATTATGCAAAAGGGTTCTATTTTATATCTTCTAGGACAGAAAATCACCAGAGCAAGTGCTACCGCTTTAGGAGAGTGGTTAGAGTTTCCTATTTTAAGGGCTTCATCTTTTCTGGGACCCCAGTTACTTATCTCCGCCACTTCCTGAAGAGATTTCCGCTCCTTTTCCCCCTCTATCATATCCATTTTGAAATCACAATTGATCCCTGCAATCTGATTGGCTCTCAGCAGTGTGATTTACTTCTGAATCACTTTTTTGCTCTAAATCACTTCTGTTCTAATTCGCTTCATTCATGTTCTGAATCACGTCATTTCTGTTTTAAATCGCACCATTTTCTATATCGCATCATTTCTGTTTCAAATACAAATAAGATGTAGAGTCTTTTTGTTTCCGCTTTTAAACAAACCGGCTATTAGATCGATGGTATTGACTGAATCCTGCGATTTCAAAATGGCTGTAATAAAGTGGTAATTGAACTTCGTGCCATCTAATTTTGGTCTCAAATCTTACTTGTGATTTCAAATCGAACCCGCGCACTGCGTGCTCGTCCGATTTTGAAATCACGCGTACGATTTCAGACCAAATTGCACTCCTCTTAGTTCAATTACCATTATTTACAAAACATTAATAAATAAAAATGAATAAAAAAGTTTAAATTGCAAATCTATGACACTATTGCTGTTATAATATTTTTTACAAATATCATAAGCTAGTTCAGAATCCGATACACAAAATTTGTCCCCTCTTTTCCAACTGCAAATCCAGTTTGATTATCAAACTCCCAGCATCCCTCAGTAATGTTTCCATATTTGGCATAACTTTCCTTAGCATTCCTGCCACTGTAGCACTCGCCGTAAAACTGGACGCCAAAGTATTCGTAGCCCATATCACTGGCCACTTGTGCGCACTGATCAACTGTTAATTCCATGTTTAACCAGTCGATGTTACCTCGCGCGTTAGCGTAGAACACTGGCAAGGCTCGTTCTTTGGCACTATCGTTATAACAGCCAATGGGCTGAAGGTTCGGTGCTGGATCTATAAAGACGAATGTAGTCGGGAGATTATTTAATTTGATCGAATACTTGGCTTCGTACAATTTGAGTCCTTCCGAAATCTCCGTTATTTTCACATTACGCTGAAATTAACTTCACTCATCAGCCTTATCACTTAATAATTACCCTTTCTGACCTAAATTATGTTACCCCACAAAATCTTCCGACCCAAACCTGGCGATGAGTAATAACCAGTCCCTGACAAACAAATTAATTGTCTTGCGAAGTTGTCAGGACATGAATTTGGTTAGTCTGTGGTTCTATTTCCTTTCTGTAGATCAATTGCCTTTCATGATTTGCAAAACATTTTGTGATGGAAATACGCTTGGAATGGGCAGGTACATGAACTTACCAAAAGAATATACAAAAAGACTGTTGCCCGCTCCAATCCTGTCTATACACGCCGCATTTTCAATACCATTGAAGTAATATTTGTCCTTCATATTAGCTCCGGATAGACAGAGACCATTCTTGCCTAAAGCGAACCGCTTGTAACCGTTTGCGTACGCCAGCTCGGCGCACTTTTTCACGACCTCATGTTTGTTGTTCCACGTCATTTGGTTGGTTAAGTCGACAACTCTGCCTTTGAGACCGTCAGCACCATAAAAGCATGCCAATGGAATTTCGGGCGGTGTTGCAGAGACGACTACTAAGAGACGGAACATTTTGTAGTCATTGTTTTTACCTTGCTATGTTACAGTGTTTCCTACTGTAGAACACACTTAACTAAGTTTAGTATTCGTCAGGCGTATGTTACTTTGATCATCTTACGTACAAGCAACTCTACCATGGTAGAAAGAGGGGAAAGAAGAGGTTGGGAGGAAGAGGGTGCATCCCCCTTTTCCCTATTGTTGTTGTATTTATAATGTATTTTCCTCCATGTATTAGAGAGATTAAATCTTAAATAGATAGATCGTAATGAGCTCTACAGTATATTGCAAATAATGTAATTATTGATATGGCGCTTAAAGGGGACTTGTAATGTAATTTTAAATGTCCGTTATCGTAGTCATTACCATACTTTATCGCAAAGTCCCTTAAATGTTGTTTTCACAACGTCACTTGCCGTTTATAATGATTCAAAACTAACAGTATCATTTCCATTTGTATCATCAATAAAGATGATCTGTTTTTCCTCAATCGACTACATGAAAAACCTCGTTTCTCTCAATCGATCTCAGAGAACGTTAGCCCTGAAGATGGCAGCCCACTCACTTAATTCTTTGTTTATACCACTAATATTACTGGACTTGATCGTGAGGAAAAATACATATTCTGAGGTTATTAAAACATACCGAGGTCGCAGTTGTCTCCACTGGATCCTGGTAGACATATGCATTCGTGTGAATCATAAGTCCGAGTAGCAACGAGTATTCACAGGGCACTGTACATTTACACAGGGATTCTAACATTCAATTAAGATATCGTGATGACGATATACTGAGCAGACTCAGGTAAATCTTTAAAAGTACTTTGCTGTCTTTTGATTATGTTGTAGTCTAGTATGTTTTCTAAACTTAAAATCAATCATCAATTTAAAAATATATATATAAACCGATAGAATGGAAAAACTTTTTTGTAACTGACCGGTACCTGCAATTCAGCTCTATTGATTCATTCGTTCGTTCGTTCGTTCGTTCGTTCGTTCGTTCGTTCGTTCGTTCGTTCGTTCGTTCGTTCGTTCGTTCGTTCGTTCGTTCGTTCGTTCGTTCGTTCGTTCAGTCAGTCAGTCAGTCAGTCAGTCAGTCACTAATGTACCGTTAACCAAAAGAGGATTCACTCTTTCGGTTTTCTTGACTTAACTCCGTTGGCCTCTACCTTGGTTCCACGATAAATGAATCCTTGGTTTGTCATCAGGTCTAGAGGATCTCTTAACGCATCGGAGTTGCTAAGCTCGCACACGTGATCTCCGTTCTCCAGTTGTGGCCCTAAGTTGTATGACTCACATTTCATTTCTAAGAAGCATTCGATCTCACAATTTTCTGCTGATGTCACCTTCCGAGAAGTTATCACGTGATTTGTTAATGCTTTGTTGGCGACAGGACTGACAAAAACTTTTGTTATGCAGGTTTCTATGGAGATGCAAATAAACACAACAGAAGTTGTGTGATTGAATGGAAAGCCAACCTGGTTTTATTCTATTGTTTAATTTTTTCAATTCTGTAAATAAGTCATTAGCCGCACAAGTTCACTACTGTGAATGTAATGTCAAATTTTTCTTTATTGGGATATAATCCAAAATTTATGACTGGGTATTTACATGGCTTGTAATAAAACAGTGCAAAGAAATCTAAGTTTTATTCCTAGTCAGGAGGAATGAAACTTGTTATATTCATCTGAGTTTAAACCTAAGCCGGCCTTTTGCGTACAATTTAGTTCAGTATTATTTTGTTGTACGTAAGGTTGACGCTCGTTAGAAAAGGGAAACGGTTTGATTTAGGGCTTGTAATTTTGATTGCTGACGTAAAATGAAAGGTATAAAGAAAGTTGGGATTCTTGGAAATTTCTCTTTTATGCATTTTCATTACTTGAATTAATAAAATAGAAAAACGAAAGGAAAAAGAAAAAAATTTCAGAAGAAACGTTGCAACGGAGAATGACTAGAGTGGAATCTCAGAGTCAATTGTATTATAGTTTTATCCTTAAAATGCATTAATATATTTTCCTGTTCGAAAGTAGAGACCAATTTGTGTTTAAGAAAGATCACATACCTTCTGTAACAATTAGATGACAAAGCTCCGTTATAAAGATTCCAAGTACAACGCTTACGTATTGTAAAGCTGACATTGACCAGACGTTCTATTACTAGGACGTTCTTGTTATTCTTTCAGTTCCTACGAGTAGGTATCGTGCACTGTCAAAGAAGTAATATAGTACCTCTACAGACTGATGCTAGTCGTCATGAACAGAAACTTTTTTTTGAAGTTGGTACAGGCAACTGAGGAGTTGTACGCTTCGTGATGCAGTTATTTAAAAAGAATCGAATAGTTGTTTCACCTTGAATTACTTTTAAATTTGCGACCCTCACTTCACTTCATTTAAATAATACATGAGCATGTCTAAACACAACATCATTTTTATTGTACAATTTGCATTATGTTTTTCTCTTACTATTAGGACATTGTCAAATCTCTTTTATTTCTTTATTTTTATCTTGTGTTGCTACGGATATTCTACTTGTTTAGTCAACGCCATAATACTCCCAACCTCATGAATCATTTTGCAGTTGATAAGTTATTTTCCCACGCATAAACAACTTCCTGTCAGTAAGGTATACAAAAGGTATATTTTCCATGAATGCTATGCTATCCTTTAACTTTTTTCATACTAGCAGTTTGTGCAGAGTTCTCATCACCCTGTTTGACTTAAATTCTTACTTAAATAGCAGTAGAAAGTAGCAGTAAGACTACTTCAGGGTTGTTTACAAGCTAGTCGTAGTCGTTCACACTCAAAAGCTTTATTCAATTAGCGGTATCGAAGATCGATGTGTCGAGTGGTAGTTAAAGAAGAAAAGTTATCGCGGTTTTAACTCAACAAACAGACCTAATTCAAGGCAGAGTATGGAAAGTAGCTCGGCTTTGATCATGAGTTGCATCAATTTTCTTTGGCTTAGTTTATCCGATAAACAAAATTAGTGTCCCTCTCTCCCACTCGAAATCCAGAGGTTTTGTCAATTTCCACACATCTGTCACTCTTGCCATGTTTGTTATAAGTTTGCGAAGCGTTTTTTCCAGTATAACACTCTCCGTAATACTGAACAGCAAAGTATTCGTAACCTTTGTTGACGGCTACTTGTGCGCACTGTTGCACTGTCTTCAATTGTGGCCACTCCTTCCAGTTTATCTGCTTTCTGAAGTTGGCGTAGTTATTTGGAAAGGCGAGATCTCCGCATTTTTCCTTATAACATCCAAGTGGCTGAAGATCAGCTGAGGAGTCTGGCAAGAAATAAAGAAGGAAAATTAATTGTGAGGAGAAGAGAAACAAGTTTCAAGTAGCTTTGTCAGAGATTCAGCATTGTACCCCTTTGCCTTGTTTTGCATTATTCTCCATCTATACAACATTTAATATTACTCAAGTTGTAAGCTCTCATTAAGCATCAACGTGTCCCTGTAACTTTGACATCGATAGCTTCGCATATTGGCCTCCAGAAAAGGCATAGCATGTTAACAAGTCATTTCTCTTAGGGTAAGATGAATATAGATTACACTGATCAGATACCTTACAAGACATATTGTTAACAAACACTTTTCTATATAATTGTTTTAAAGACATGCGCTTCTCTTGTTCCAGCGGCACAGTCCACGTCTGAATTTTCTAGTTTTTGAACGAGGATAGACAATACCCAACACTAAACTAAGGAATAAACGAATATATTATCTCCCTTGCCGATACCGTCTTTACAGTCCGCCCCCGTTGTACCACTGATATGGTATCTGTTTGGAGTATCAGCTCCAGATAAGCACAGACCATCCTTGCCCAAAGCGAATATCTTGTAATGTTTGGCGCGAGCCAACTCAGCGCACTTTTCCACTACATCATAAATGTCAGCCGTTCCTAACTTGATTTCACTTCTAAAGTCATCGAGTACCTCCTGGAGATTTGAAGCACCTCTAAAGCATGCCACTGGACGTGGAACGACCAAAAACAAACACAAAAGCTATATCATAAAATCGCATATTTATATTATAAAAAAAATATATACAAAAAAATACCTAGCCTTAACAACAGGTATTTTTAGCAGGCGCAAAATGTAGAGCACAAAGTGCGAGACACCCTAACAAGGTGTGCAAATTATTGGTGTACCTTCTGTGCCCACCAACTCGTCAACCATAGGCCTGGTTCAGACGCCGTTCGTTTCATGTGCCGAACCTAATTGAATAAGTTGGACTTTGGAGAGACACTTGCGCGACATCTGATTCAGACGGCTCACCGTGTGTCGAGCCTTAGCCTGCGAACAGCAGACGCATTTCCGGTCGTCGCTTCTCTCCCTCCGAAAAATAGCTATTTTTCGGAGGGAGAGAAGCGACGACCGGAAATGCGTCTGCTGTTCGCAGGCTAGTCGAGCCTAAGTTACGTTAGACAAAAATTCGACAGACACTGTCGAACTTAACACCTTTGCCGCGCCAAACTAAAACTGCCGTACCAAATTGATTCAGACGCCGCTCTTTTGCCGTAGCTTAATTCATCAGTGAGGTTCGGCACATGACACACAGGGGACCTTACGAACCTATAACGGCGACGGCAGGAGAAAGTCAAAAAAGCAATAGGTTTAAAGAGCAAAACAACAACTCTGCACGTGCACCACGCTTTTTTGTACATTTCTTTGCTGTCCCTGCACAACGACGACGTGAAATACGTGTGAAATGACCAATTTTTAAGTTTAATTGAGAACGAGAACGGCAAGGCGATAATCTCTGTTTGAACTCGGGCGCGGTCCCCTCGCTTCAGCTCCAGCAAAAAATTCCCTTTTTTTAAGTAACAGGGCTAATTGGGATATCTCGTAAAAGTTTATAATGATGCGAAGTCTATCACAGCGACCTTTTCATGGACGTCGCCGTTGTCCGATCGGAACTAGCTAATTAACGAGTGGACTGAGCGGCGTCTGAACCTGGCCATAGTCAACATTGTTGACTAACAGAATTATCCTCAAATTGACCGACCAAATAAATTTTCAGTAATTAACGTGATTCTATGACTCTTGAAACAGAATAGACTTTCATTGTGAACCTAAGATTAATTCTATGAAAACAGCAATCCATTTTGCAAATTTTAAAGCTAGGAAACGAGACGGTTATCTTGTCAATACCTCTCCAGACCTGCAGATTGAACTTTACATTATCATAAAATACGCGTCGTGTCGTACTCTGACTNTGACTCTTGAAACAGAATAGACTTTCATTGTGAACCTAAGATTAATTCTATGAAAACAGCAATCCATTTTGCAAATTTTAAAGCTAGGAAACGAGACGGTTATCTTGTCAATACCTCTCCAGACCTGCAGATTGAACTTTACATTATCATAAAATACGCGTCGTGTCGTACTCTGACTAAAGGAACAAAAACAGTTTGGACTTACGCGCCCTAATTTCGCATTTTTCTCCACTCCATTGCCAACTGCATGAACAAGCAAACGTATGTTTCCCTTCGTCGAACAAGCAAGAACCTCCGTTATGGCATCCAGTCATTAGGCAGCCCTGATGAAACACGATGTTCATAATGTTACTTCGCTAAGCTAAAATGATATACATCGTTTTTCGTCGACTTCCCACAGCTTTTTATATGTTTTAGCCACTCTTTCTCGGGCAGGGGGCGGCGACGTACTAACTACGTCCAGATAATTTGCAGGTAGCGAGGCTGATCCCTTAACATTTTTAACTCCACAAGGCAAATCTAACGTTAAACATAACAATTCCACTGATAAATTGCCAGGTTTGCTTTCCTCTTTTCTTATATTAATAGTTGTTTGCACTCTATATTTCTCTTAACTTTATTTTCATGACAAGTAAGCCTTTTGTTACTGAGGGAAGAAAACGTTGCCTTTGATAATGATCAGTGTTGTGGCGGAACTGAAAAATTTAGGAAAAGGGAAAACAATTGGCTCGCTCCCGTTCGAGACATAAGGGAGTTTTAGCATCGACGACGGCGACAGCAACGAAAACGTCACATTTAAAATGAATTGGCGTTTTTTCAAACTTTTTCACGTTTATTCCAATTCGCTGAAAATGTCTAAAGTAGGCAAATTTCTCTAGAGTTGATTTCTTGGGGACCCCATTCAAGTTAAGAAAGAGAAATAAATTTCGTCGTCGCTTGTTAACGTCCTCCATAAAACGTGAAATTAGGCATTGTCACGTCGTTAAGTCGTGCATTAACGGCTAAGAAATGTACAGAAAAGCGTGATGCACGTGCAAACCTGTTGTTTTGCTTATACAGCTATTGCTGTTTTGACGGTCTCGCTAACGTCGCCGTCGTCGTTGCTAAAACTCCCTATAGACTGAAATGCGAGTGCTTTTTTATAACAGCTCAACCTAACTGTTTAACCAACTTTCCATTTCTTTTTTTACGAAACTTCGCTTGAACAGTTATGTACTGAAATTGATCTAGATGCAATTGTAGGAGTCTATTTCTTGTTGCATGCCGAAATTAGCGAGGGACGTCTGCACACGCAGGCTTTTGTTGTCTTAAAGTAATGAAAATTCAGAACTTTTCTTACCTTAAGAAACATTGAAAACAGAGTGCCTGGGTTATCAGTGAGCTTGGTGTCATCATCAGTTGGAGAGAACTCGTGCTTGTTCAGCTCACAATTGCCCGAGGACTCTTTGAAGTTAGAAGAGGCACACCAAGAATGCCTTAAACATGCTCGACTGCACGACCTTTCATCCGTAGAATCGATTTTCTTGACAACAAGGCCATGTAAACGCTTGTTCTCTCGCGTTTTGATGTAGGAAGATCTAGAGTCTCCTTCGGCTGCTAAAACTGCGCTAACCATGAAGCAGAAAATGAGTGAGGAGATCATGTTATGATCTCTGCAATATTACAGCGCTCAACAGGGTGTGTCTGTGAAAAGGAAGTTCTCGGGTAAAATTTGTAGGGTTCATAAATATATATTATTTTGTAGATAGCAAGTTAATTTGAAATACTTTGAGCTCGATTGACGCGTGTCCCTTCAGTGATTGACTTGTCCTGTCAAAGTAGAGGATAGGGAAAAAATAAAAAGCTCGTTGCTGTTTTGGCTAACCATGATGAAAAAGCTTAGGATTGAGGACATCGGAATTCACAAAATTTGTCTCTTGTTGAATGGTGAATATAAATACTTTGCTGTCGAAAGGAAGTACAGCTTAATTACTCAACCACAGCACTGCGACCTTTTAGTTTAACATGGCAATCTAATTAAAGGCTTTTATTTAATTTTCGCAAATCTTAAAAAAGCATATAGTTTGGCAAAAAGTTAATTACTAAAAATTGTGAAATGTTAATAACACAACGATTATTACAAACACGCATTATAAAGTTACCAGCCAGAGTATATTTAACAATTATTCCTCGAGCCCGAATGAGTTCTGAGTCAATAGCCCATTCGGCGTTCGCGCGGGCTATTGACTCATGAGGGCGGGAGGAAAAATTGTTTCAATAAAATCCAACAAGTTGTTTGGTCAAAAGCATCGAGACAAAACAACTTGGGCTAGAAAAACGCGATTCAGCCGCCATTGTTTTTGTTTTCAAAGCCGGCGCTTTTCGCTGCTAGTGGGCTATAACATAGAGCCTAGTAGTAGCTCAACCAAACAGAACGCAACATTGATAACAGACCGCTAGTTGGACTTTACTAATGTAGCATAGCGAAGAGAAACTGGTGCTACTATAAAAAATTAATTTTAATATTCAGCCCTTATTTACTCTACAGTTCTCTACAGATAACACTCTGAATGACTGCTAATAAATTAAATTCCGTAAATGGGGTTCAAAAATTAGTCCTCAACATTAATTAGCATTAGCGCCACCTGAACATAACTCATGTATTAAACAATTGAACTGGCAGTCTTATGCGGAAACTGATGGAGAAATGTGGCAGCAATTAGCGCAAGGCCGAGAAACAGAGATGTTTTAAAATTCACTTATAGTTTAATTTAGCAGTATTCGCCTTTACTGCAAATACTGCTGGATCGTTTAAGGGCAACTTTTTATTTACAATTATCCTACGAATACTGCCATCTCTGGCGAGGAGCGAGGAGACACGGCTCTATTCGCAGGCTTAACTTTTTATAGAAATTAAATGGTACATTTTCAAAAAATATAAGAATAGAGAGTTTCCAAAGACGATAATAAAAAAAGAAGGGCAATGGATAAAACCAACTACAACAATAATGCAACAGTTTTTAAAATTGATTTGGACATCTGCTTGTGTTTTTAATTTAATAAACGGGGACAGAAAACGCAATTAGAGTGAAATGTCAATTTCGCCTGTTTTTCGTATCAGTTAGAAAAGTCAGGCGCTGACGCCCACTCTATTAATGAATTAATTGCTTCGAAAATGAATCGTTTTCGATATCAGATCTATTTTTGTATTCCCGCAGGTGCATTAATGGCAGTGAATTTACACGCCACGTAGTTAGGAAAATTCTGGTGGCTCATAATAGAAATTTTATCCATAAAAGTCTAACAGATTTTTCTATCTGCATGAAGAACCTCTGAAAGGTTCTTTTAAAATATAATTCACTCCGCATTACACATGCAAAAATGCAACTTTGAATCTGATACCAGTCGGTGACTAGCGTATAACTTTATTTATTTTTCTTGTATTAAAAGAATATATGAGGCAGCTTAGATTGGTTGTAACGTCCGAAGCAGTTAAGAAAAACAAGTGACCGGTCTATCTTGGATGGTTTGATAATATCTCATTTAAGAGGAACAAGGTTTTACCTCCGATTTAATTCGACAGCTGATTTATTTACTACGAAAACGTTCCTGATGTTGTTCCAGCCCTATTAAAATTCGTTTTGTTTTTCGGAAGAGAAACCGCTTAAGTTTCCCATCATACTTAAGTTGACTGTGCGCTAGTGCTTTGCAATTAAATGGACTTTTTACCTTTTCCCAAGTTTGACTATCAGAAAATACCTTTTACGAAGACGATGTGTGAGTGTCCTATGTTTAAAGGCGCGGAATCGCTCCAGCCGGGAAAAAGTAGTTGAAACCTCTTGGAAAAGTTATAACAAATAAACCAAATGAACCAAATACAGTCAAACCTGTATATAACGGTCCTGTGTTAAGCGGCCAGTTTTCAATGGGCGGGCACGCCCCAGCGGGGAAAAAATGGGGTAGAACCTATAGAAAAAAATGAAAAAAAAAAAACCAAAAGACACAAACACTGACAAACCTTTATAAAACGGCCCTGTTTTAAGCGGCCAGTTTTCAAAGTCCCGTTTTTTTCCCTCATAAACACTTTTGGGGGGGGGGGGGGGGAAGAATTTCAGAGCCGCAGGAAGTTTTTCGCTATCAAATTCCTTGTATGCATTTTTTTTAGGCCATAGCATGAATATTTTTTAGGATTAATTGGCGTGCATGAATTTTTTTCATTTAATTTTCCCTTACGCGAATATTTTTTTGTACTTCGCCCGCCCCCTTCCCCCCCTCCGCCCCCATAAGTTTTCTAATGGTCCGTCCCTTACGTACTTTATACCGTTAAGTTGCAAGTTGGCACTGAACTTTGTTTAAAGTTTTGATCGCTTGGAAGAGTTTTGATTGTGCCATTGTTTCCTTGCATGAAGTGTTTTTGTATGAGACACCATTAATTGTCTTTAGACCATGCCCAGCGAGTATTTTTAGTCATTCTGTATTAAGCGGCCAGTTCCTCAATTACCTAGCCTTCCACGCAGGCGTTTTTAGGGGAGCTCGTTTTTCATCCCTCCACACAAACGCCTGCTCAGCCGGAAACAACATTCCTTTCCCATTGTTTTATTTGCGTGGTAAGTGACCAATAAACAGTTGTGCAATAAGGTGTTGACAGGTTAAACGCGACTAAAACGTGACCCTACAGTTACCGTTTTCCTTCTTTTCTTTCCTTCCTTAAGTTTATGAAGTGCATGGAGTATTCTAAAATTTGATTAAATTTTATTTTTGCCGCTCTGAATCTAACATTTATTGGAGGTTAGAAAGTTTTTCCAGTGTTTATACAAATCGAGTAATTATCAGATTACCTTGCGGTCAAGGTTAACTTTCCAGGATTTGGAAAGTACAATGTGATTGGCTAAGCATGGGAAAGGAATGTTGTTTTCGGTTGAGCAGGCGTTTGAAGGGAGGGATGAAAAACGAGCTCCCCTAAAAACGCCTGCGTGGGAGGCTATCAATTACCGAGCGCGCGTGACCGTTGTATACCGGTTCGACTGTAAGTCGACCTTTCACTTTTATCTTTAAATTTGTTTACCATTTTTCGTACGGAATTTTTCTTCGCTCATGCTATTTCTAATACAAAATTCAAGTTTAAATTAAGAAGGCAAATTATTTTGTCTATTACTGATCACAGCACAAGCGTTCAGTATTATTTCATTCTTCGTTTGGCTTTGCTGATTTGAAGCGAAAAGCAGTAATTAGGAAACCTGTATGCAAATATGCAGAAGCTTAGGAGAGTTTATGTTTATAAGACAAATGTGCACTTTTTATTTTGTGTTGTTTTTACTCCCGTCCTCGATTTGTTTTCGCCCGCTAAACGAGAGACCAAGAGACATCAATCTTACTCTCAGTCTGTGCGTCAGGTGAACACCAATGATTTTATTTTGGTTAGTTTGAAATGTATTAACTAGAGTTAAGTTTATATATATTTATTTATTTAAGTTTTTTATATTTATTTATATATATTTTCTACTTATCTCATTCCGTTCGTGTTTGTTGAATTTTGTTGACTTTTTTCATACGGGTAAATTTGGAAAAGAAGTAACAGAGGCGAGCTTTAAAAATTTTTAGCCCCCACCCCAATTACACTTCTTGCCAGGATATTATTTTAAACTTTTTAATCGAATGTTACCTACAGCGGTAATGAACATGGAACAAGAGACAATACTTCAAAATATTTTAACCCGGGTCTAGGAAGCACTTTAACTATTACCCAAGGAGATCGTGGTAACCGTTTTCTGTTTGTGAGAAAATTACCAACAGGGACTATATTTCTATGTTAACTCACGCAGCAAACGAGTATTAAGGTGACTCGACCCAGTTTTTTTGGAGGGGTACCATCCTACTTTGAAGCTCGCTGGTATCCCCACCTTTACTTTTATCGTAAGTCTAACACATAGAATGGATAACATATAGATCAATGTACAATATAACATAAAATTTTTGGCGATTGGAGTAAATGTTACGTGGTTATAATGCCACGCCCTTTTGAGGTCTGAGTCGAAAATCTGCTGTTGCCGGCATTTTTTCGTGAAAATCTCTCAGCTACACATAGTGCGCATTAGTGCCTTGCGCTGAACAGAGTTTCACCAAAATCGCAAAGACCCAATTCGAGAAATTCAGCGGTTTCCAAATTTAGGTCATAATTTATGCGAAAATGATAAGCAAACTTTACACGGATTATATCTAATAAACTATGAGATTCATCTCTTTATTTTGGGCATCGTTATAACAGATGGGTCCTTGCAAGTCAGCAAAACGCTTTAGGGCCTTGTAAATGCGCGCGATTTCGAGCAAAGCAAACATATAGAAATTATAGTTTTCGCTATTTGTTGACGTTTGTCAGCGTTTAAGAGTCCTTCTCACGAAAAAAGCATTTTCTTAAAAATTCGTAGTTTTTTTTCCTTCAAATTTTTTCAGGGCCACAATTGATTAACTAACTACCCGGACTCTGAATTTCATGGTCATTGAAAAACTGTGACATTATCTTCTATAAGCCCAAACTTGAGTAAACATTGAAGATTTTTAGCGTTTTGGCTGAGTTTGTGCTTTGGGAGTTGTCTATTGTTTCTAGTCTGTCATTATACAGCATTCTTGTTCAGCACGCGTGCAATGACCGCGCTTGGCTGACTTCCGAATGCTCACCGAGATATAATAATTTTGGTACAGTGAGACAGGCCATCGCTTGATACATAGAGGTTTAAGTCACAATTTTTAATCAATTCTCGTGCTTCTTGTGCCTTTGCAAAAAAATCAAGAAGTGCTACACACTAAATCTACTTACTATTAAAAAAATATCATTTTTTCATAGGTTTAATGCAAGCCAATAATTAAACCAACTCGTGACGGGAATATCTCGGTGAGCATTCGGAAGTCAGCCAAGCGTGGTCATTGCACGCGTGCTGAACAAGAATGCTGTATAATGACAGACTAGAAACAATAGACAACTCCCAAAGCACAAACTCAGCCAAAACGCTAAAAATCTTCAATGTTTACTCAAGTTTGGGCTTATAGAAGATAATGTCAGACCTCAAAGGGGCGTGGCATTATAACCACGTGACATTTACTCCGATCGCCAAAAATTTTATGTTATATTGTACATTGATCTATATGTTATCCATTCTATGTGTTAGACTTACGATAAAAGTAAAGGTGGGGATACCAGAGAGCTTCAAAGTAGGATGGTACCCCCCCAAAAAAACTGGGTCGAGTCACCTTAAACTGAAATCAATAGACTTCAGTTAAAATTAAACATTTTGGCAAAACTTCAGGCAGCTGAAAAGAAGGGAGCTCTTATTTCATGTGACATAGCCTATCACCCCTCGGACGTACATGCAAAGTCACACTCCCACAGTGGTACAAGGGCGGGGGCTTGATGCAGTCTTTGTAGCTATTTATGGAAAGCTTCCTTTATAATTAAGAAAAATTGCGAAATTAATCAATGGACAGCTACACAAAATTTATATAGAAAACCGTTAAACCAATAAGAATTGAAGAAACGAAAGGGGGCGTACTTTAAACCAAAAGTCCCTGCATGTCAAAAACTTTCGTGTTTAGAAGTGCAAACTTTCGAAATGTGACGTAGACCAACATTTTAAGATTGGTTACCTGCAAAAACAACTCTGCAGCAAAGGCCGGTTATGAAGAATCCAAGTACCAATCTGAAGAACCCGAACATAGACATGGATAAACTCTGTTGTTCCTTGAGAGACGAGAGTATTCCTGAGTATGATAATGAAGCAGCCCAGAGGGCTGTGCTGTAATTTAAATGCGGAACAAGAATGAAAACTGAAATAGTTCAACCGACTTTACCCGATGCTAATAGATTATACATAAATTATTCAACAAAACCTTCTTTGGCACTAATGGTGCTTTTAAGTCAATGATAAACAGTTTTACAATGATGGCAATCACAATTTTTTAGGGTTTAAAATTCCGTTACGATTAATGGCAGAAAAGGTAAATACATGTATCGGCAAATCTTTTATCTAACCTGCAAAAAAAGGGAAGGCTGAGAACATTTTGTATGTTTGATCCATTTCAATCATGTTATATACCGAGTTCTAGTGAAGAATTATTATGTAAAGTACATTGAGCGGCACGAATGAGTAATGAGCAGAGCTTTCTTTGACGTTTTCCTGGAATATTCAACCGGATTCTTTAAAGTATCAACAGAGTTAAGAAAATTTGCTACTGATTTGCCTATTATATTTTCATTCGTCTATTCATTTCCACATCAGTTTCTGCGTCAATTAAATGAATGGGTGTTCTTTGAAATTTAAGATACGAGTTAAACAGTACGTGCGTCATTATTGCTCGAAGCTTTCTTGTTAAGTCAGTTTGAAAGACTTGAAAAGCATTATCAATTCCTGATCTGCAAGATCAGGAATTGATAATGCTTTTCAAGTCGATAAGATACTTAAGATACGAGTTAAACAGTACGTGCGTCATTATTGCTCGAAGCTTTCTTGTTAAGTCAGTTTGAAAGACTTGAAAAGCATTATCAATTCCTGATCTGCAAGGTCTTACGCGCTCGGTCATCGTTTTTACGCTGGTAGAGTAGCCAGGGCTTTATCCCTGCGTCTTGTCATTGTTTTAGAACCAGCAGCGTATTATTGTAGTCATCAAAGTGTGGAACAGCAGGTTATTTATAAAACATAAATGACTCCCTGTTCCAATATTATGACCTGCTATTCCATTTATTGAAAACTGTCACCCGCTTAAAACAATGGGAAGAAATTTTAAAATGTTATATTCAAAGAAAAAGGAATTTAATTCTACACAAAATCAAGTAAAAAGAAAAGTTACATACCATCCATATACCGTCTAAGAATAAAGCTTTTAACGAAGAATTCAAGAGCAAACAAAGAGTGGACGTCAATGGAATTTGTCAGTATTCTCGACAAGACTCCTATAGCTAGGTAACGATTAACGGCAGGTAATAAGTTCAGGAATTCTTTAACAGCTGTATCTTTATAAATGCTGCATCAGAAACTAATGTTGATAGATTGGTATAGAAATCTGCTGCCGTGTTATATTAGCCAGTTTTCAGGACATGCTGATCAAAACAATTTAACTCAGTCGTGCTGAAGTAAAGCATTTTCGATAAGTATAAAATTCATAGTTGGCTAAAGGGCTCGTGGAGTAGTAAACACAGAAGAAATGTATTATTCATCCCCGGAACTAGCCAAACGATTTTTATTTCATTTGTTTTATTCTCCCACGGAGCCTCGGAGACAAGTACGAGTTTCAATTCAACGACTGAGTGCTCCATAGATTATTTCCAGCTTGCACTAAGCCTCTGTTTCAAAGCGAGGGTAAGTGCGAAGCCGTTGATAGCCTCGTTTTGAAAATGAGAGTTATTAGAACTCGGAAATAAGCTTTTCTTTCAGCATTAGGGACTTTGCCTCGCCCCAGTAGCTCGCAATCGTTTGATCCAGGGCTATAAAGCTTTAAAGGAGGGTATTTTTGTCAACCATATGTCATAGCTACCAGGACACTCTCCTGGAACATATTGCACATATAAGTTCCCTCAATACTTAACAGGTCTTTGCGGTCAAACTGAAGTAATTAAGGGTCCTTTTTGTAGAACTCACTTATATGTCCTAAGTAATGTTTATCGCTGTGAAGAAACAATAAGACTATTGTTCCTTTTTTTAATTTAAAGAAAAGGGCCAAAAATATGTTTGGAATGTCACGGGTGGGAATTACAGTCCAAACCTGCAAATAAAATCCGATCATGCTATTACCTATACTTACAAAACATAAAGAAATAGATAAATGAATAAAAAAGTTTAAATTACAAATCTATAACACTGTTGCGGTTATAATATTGTTTTACAAATATTACCAGCTAGTTCAGAATCCGATAAACAAAATTTGTCCCCTTTTTCCCAACTGCAAATCCAGTTTGATTATCAAACTTCCAGCATCCCTCAGTAATGTTTCCATATTTGGCATAACTTTCCTTAGCATTCCAGCCACTGCGGCACTCGCCGAAAAACAGGACGCCAAAGTATTCGTAGCCGATATCACTGGCCACTTGTGCGCATTGATTAACTGTTAACTCCATGTTTAACCAGTCGATGTTTCTTCGGAAGTTAGCATAGAGCACTGGC